CTTCAAACATGCAAACCATATCCTAGTACAAGCCTACAGCTTAGTTGGAATGGTAAAAGAAATATTAGTAAATTTACAAAAAAATCATCATAAAACTTTACAACCATAAAGAAAACCCTACAAGATACCGCAGCATCTTCAACACACGCATAAAAACACTCACAAGAACAAACAAAAACTTAAAAATAAATCAAAGATCGTCGTCACGTAGTCGTAAACGTATCGTCACGCTGTGAGGATGCTGGAAATAGATTGCTTCCCGGTTTGTTGCACTTGACACTACACGGGATACCCAAGACACGGACATTTTTAATAATACGAAGGATTTTTGTACAGATTCGGTCTACGTAAGTTCGATAAAAAGAAAACACCGTTTAAAACATAATTAAATTTATATATCTCTATTTGTCGCAAACTCCGTCTGTGCGGAATTAAAAAAAAACAATAAGTAGCCTATGTATTCATTCAGACTATGTTCTATATCTTTGTTAAATTTTAATAATGGTATTGGTAATGGATATTTCCATCCATCCATCTAAACATTCGCATTTATCTATCTATATATAAAAGAAAGTCGTGTTAGTTACACTATTTATAACTCAAGAACGGCTTTACCGATATGCCTGAAAATTGGTGAGGAGGTAGCTCAGACCCAGAAGACGGACACAGGATACTATTTATTCATTTTTTTTAGAATTTATGCCTTGAAAATGCTCCTTTTTATTTAACTTACTAATATTATAAATGCGAAGTTTAGATGGATATGATGTGGATGGCTGGATGGGTGGGCTACACTAATTAAGTTTTTTTATATATCCACGCGGACGGAGTCGCGGGCGACAGCTAGTAGTAGATATTAGTAAAATTACTAAGATTTTGGTCTTAGAAATCAACGGTTATATGCAATTCCTACTGTTGTCTATTGATAGTTAATATTAAAAAATCATCTGGTCATTTGACATATATAAAAAAAATTAAAAATCTAGGCGAAAATTTAAAAAAAGATTAAAATTTTCTATTTTTAATAATTTTCTAGTTTATAAAAGCTTTAATTAAAAGTATCGAGATACATATTTTTTTATAAGTACACAAAGGTACTAAACCTTAAGAACAGCGAACAATCAAATCAGTAAGGAAGACGACGATTTGTTAACAAACATCCAAAAATAGTCTGTAGTACCCATCTTGTAATGCGTGTACAATGCGGACATCCTTTACAGCTTGATTGTGACAAATGGCCCCCTGTATATCCGACGAGATATGTCTACCTGGGTAACTAAAAAAATCACTGTTTATTTACCTTAGGTTTCTAAGTCCAAAATCTCCGTTTATAACATACTAGTCTCGACGCTGTTCTCGCGGAATTAACAAAAAATCTTAATCAGCAGTCTATGTTTTCTTCCAGATAAATGCAGGCCTTGTAGAGATACCTTCAAACATACATCCATCCATCTAAACATTCGCATTTATAAGTAAGATTTTATCTTTGAGTAAGGTAATGAAAGGGATAACGATATGTTTTATACATAGATTTTAGTTTCAGAAACCCACAGTTAGGCGCTAATTTAAAGTATTCACTTGTCTTTTGTGTTAATACGCAGTTTCCTAAAATATTTGCAGCCGAAACAAATAGTTGCATATTTACGCTAATGAGCCACGTTTGTTCCTTGTTCAAAATATTTGGTCAGTGTGACGTATTGCAAGTGGCACCAGGGATGTATTGGTTTCATCTATAAATTACAGTATAGATTTAATGTTAATGGATGGATGGATGGATGTTTGTTAGAATGTATCTCCAGAATGGCTGAACAGATCACGACGAAATTTTGCATACATATTGAACATAGTCTGGAAGAACACATAGGCTAATAACCATATTTATAAAGTGATATAAAAATGGCTAAACACTGACGTATATTCGTCCGGTGGCGGCACCGACTAGTTTCGAGGCCATCGGGGGCCCTTCATCAGGATGAGTGGTACTGGTTTAGTATGTATCACGAAAGTTTGAATAATTTAATTATATTTATTTTTAATTCCGCGCGGACGGAGTAGAGGGCGACAACTAGTATATTCATAACTAGAAATCGAACTTCGTTTAGTAATCAAGAAAATGTTTGTCATATTTATTTTAGCTAAATCCTTTTATCTGTTCCAATTTATAAAAAGAAAATCTATCCGTGAAGTCATAACGAAAAGGTTATTTTAGATTGAAACATTCAACCTGATTAAACTAGAAGAGACAAAGGAAAAGAACCTTTTGATCCTTATATCGTTCTGACGTTTAATTCCGACCCAGTATATCTTTGTTTATGTTTCAAGACTTGGGTGCGTTCGCACGCATTCGTTAATTGTCGATGGTTTGCGTGTGAATGTTTGTCGTTCCTACTTGTACGATTACTTCCTTGTCCATAACATCTGGCGTTCTACTAATTTTGGAACGTTGTCTATGGAATTACATCGTTACTAGAGAAAGAAATGAAGACGCTAGTTTGTAGACCGAATTTGTGTTTTGTTTTTAAGAGAATGGCATATACAAATAAAAACTGTCACAAAAATTTATACGTAAGATTTCTATCTTTAAAAGTAGGTCTTTTATGGTCCCATAACATACGTGATGTGAGTTACAAAATTGTTTTCGTGTTTTAAGGTATATGATTTTCACACGACTTGGATCGTAAGTTGAATTTAAATTTGCTTAATATAGGTCGTGGTCCAGTTTTGTTTGCCAAGTTTTGGTTAAGTTATTGATATTTTAAGACCGCTTTATTCGACTACAAGATAAATGCATCTAAATAAAGCAATAGAAATTACGAATTTAATATTATTAACTCGTTTCTTATGAAAATTAAAATATTATACTTATTTTGTTATTTATAACAGTCACCTCATCATCAGCTTACTATACGTCCCCAGATGGGCTCGGAGCCTACCCTATGTTAGAAGTGACTAGGTCATAGTCAACCATGCTGGTAGTGCGGATTGACTTCACACATATGTTTGAATTTCTACTCAGATATATGCAGGTTGCATCACGATGGTTTCCTTCACCTTAAGAACGTCGGATAAATGTAAATCGGAAAACACATTGGTACATGGCGGAATTCGAACTCGGACCTGCAGATTGCAAGTCAACTGCTTAAACCCCTAAGTCACCGACGCTCTCCTGAGTCACCCTCTATAGTATGTTTTTGATAATCTTCATATATGCAATATAAGCACAGAATCCGTGGAGAAGAAGAAAAGTATATTTTATATATTTTTATAATAAGGTGGCAAACGATTAAACGGCCGTCTATATTCGCTACTGCCCACAGACAACTGCATTTGCAGATGCGTTGCCTTTCATAAAATGACCGATGAGGAGACCAGTAAGAAGAATATTTCCCATTCCCTAGTGCTCTTCCCCTTCCCATCAGAAAGGGTAAGAGCACTAAAATAGGACCAGCATTAACTTCTTGTTTATTCCATTTCTTATTATGAGTTATTTGTTTGAATAACTGCAATTATTTCGTCTTTGAACTCAGATTAGGTTATCTGTTACTCTTGAGGTTAGTAATATAATGTTAAGACATAAAATTATTAATATAAATAAGTTTTGTAAACTATGTTCATTTTAAATGAATTATTTAGAAAATAACATGCAATTTTGGTTGTAAGATTTCAAGTAATTTTCACAGCAGTTGTGAAATTTTAAATTTAAATTTATTTGTTATCATTATAAATTAAGACCATCGCAATGTTATAAAAATAACAAAATAGATTGATTTATTCACCTAGCGACAAAATAAGTTAGTTATGCAGGTAATTTATTGGAAACACGTGACAGCAGTTCAATGACCTTGAGTTTCGTTATGAATATTGAATCTTTACAAGTGTTCAAATAAAACGTTAATTTGTAAATTAATTCGCTTAAACCCAAGCTTTGGAATTTAACGTTTATCAGTAATAGCCTTACTAATATGTGTTTTGCATTCTAATATTTTCATATTATCAAATAATCATTATCAAAATCCAATCCAAAATCCTATTTTCTATATTTTTTTCTTTTTCAACAACAGTCAAAAATATATTGCATTTCAAAAACATGTAGCGCAATCTATATTCAGATGCAGAAACTACACAATTCCGCGTTCGTTCTTGACAAACCTAAAACCCCGGGCAAACAACAGATGGCGCTGTTCCTAAATTTAATTAAATCGATATTTTTTTGTTTTTCAGGTAAACTTCCACAAGTGCATGTATAAAGAAATAGGTAATATGAGTACTTTATTAATTTTATCAGTTGTTTTCTGCATGTTGTGAATATTTCGATTGACGTCAATGCAATAAAATGAAACGTCTAATTTGAACATATTGACAAGGTTATTTCGATTAGATATAGCTATCTGTTCCTTATGATATGATCCCAACTGGTATCCCCTATTTGTCATATTTCAGTCACGTAGGCATTAAGGCTGAAAATTACAGTTGCTTCCATCAGGGCTGTTCCAGATTTGCTGGTCCGTGGACACTGCCACTTTTGGGTTATGGGCATAAGTTATATCGACGGAAAGATGCTTTGGGTAGTATAAAAGAAGTTTTGAAGCATATTTATATTGCAAAAATGTTTATAGAGAACGACTAACCGTGGGTTTCTAAACCAGAAATTTTCGTTTAAAAATATTGTTATCTCTATTTTGTCAAAGTTAACAGGGTTCACGACAAATTTGGTCTCAGAAAACAACGTTAACCCTTAATTCGACGAAATTTTTTGTTGCAAAATAACTGTTTTTTTTTTTAGTAAAGTCATACGTAATTTTCTCTAAACTAGTTCAGTAGATTTTTTTAATTAGTTGTACGTCACACCGGACACCATCGAATCAAGGGTTAAAAACACACGCGTTTATTCGAGTAATCATTTTAATAAAAAAAAGTTAATTTTCTTTAGTTGTTACAGGCCAGAGTTTTTTCCTCAATTAGATACCTCTTTAAAATCTGTGTGATTTTATACATAATTCAAGTAATTACAAGATAATTAAGTCTTTGTTTCTCTTTCTTTTTCCTTTTCAACTTCTATTTCAGATATAACTGCATTTATCTCGTCTTGATTTAAAAACTTCACCGGATCACCTTTCTTTAGAACCATTACCTGAAAGTTAAAACTTTTATTTTATCTAACAATTTCTAATCTACAAAATGTGATTATCTAAGCAGCTTGATTTTGTAAGTGTCGTTAAATTGATGATTTTTAGGGTTCCGTACCTCATAGGACAAAAACGGAACCCGTATAGAATCATTCTGTTGTCCGTCCGTCTGTCAGTCAAGACCCTTTTTCTCAAAAACGTGTGAATGTATCAAGCTGGAATTTATTAAACTATGGTTTCATTATTGTAGATATTTTCAATAATTTTGTGGTCATGGGTACGCTCCGTAGTGCCCTTCCCGTGCTACCGACGCCCGACACCTAAACACCTGTACACTGGCGCTAAGTTCAAAGTTACAAAGATATCTGAAAATTACTTACATCTAAATTCTTTTGACCATAATGTACAATTTCTAGAAGGCACATAATAGCTAATTTTATTGTGCCCTTCTCAGTGCTAGTGGCAGTGTCATTGTAATGTTTCTCGAGGAATTCCCGAGCAGTTTTCTCTCCACGTCCAATGGAACACGCCTGGAAATATCACTAACTAGCTGTCACCGCGATTGCGTCCACGCGGAATTAAAAAAAATAACTGAATTAGTATATTATGTGTTTTTCCATACTATGTTCTACATCTATGCAAAATTTCAGCACGATCCATGCAGTCGTTCTTAAGCATTGTAACAAACAGTATTGGGCTAAGTCTAAGAGAGCGTCGGTGGCTCACGGTTACTTGATTTGTCTGCAAGTCCTAGGTTTGAATCCTACCTTATTTATGTACATTTATTCGAATGTAAGAACAGTAAAGGAAAACATCGTGATTCAACCTGCACTGGGCCAGCGTGGTTGACTGTAGCTTAGTCACTGACTTAGGGTAGGCACCGAGCCCTTCAGTAGGGACGTATAGTGACTGGGTACCTATAATACCGCTATTAATTATGTTACAATACCTTCCATTCATAGAATGTTCCAGAAGGTTCCGTCTGAAACAAATGTCCATCTCCATCGTAATCGAATCCAGCTATCAAACAAGAAATCCCGTAAGGTCGTCTTCCATTGCTCTGTGTGTATTTCTGCTTTTGTTCCGCTATGAAGCGAGTAATGTAATCCAATTTGACTGCATCTTCTACTATAAGACGATGTGATTGACATTCTATTTGTGCCCTGAAAGAAGATTTATATGTAACTAGCTGTCGCTATGTGTTCTTCTAGACTATGTTCTATATGTATGCCGAATTTCATCGAGATCCGTTCAGTCGTTTGAGTGATACCTTCAAACAAACATCCATCCATCTAAACATTCGTATTTATAATATAAGTAAGATTTAAATGTATTCAATTAATTTCTACAGTATACTAAAAATGTTACCTATAACTATAGAAAATTATATTTTGAATTAATACGTTTTTAAAGGTCATAAAGTTACACTATAGCGCTTGCGTTATTACTCATAGACTATAAAACTGTCTGCTACACTCAGAGACATGAAACGTCTACTAAGAGTGCCTTTTAGTGTCGATTTATCAATTTACTATCCTTACCATGAGTTTCTAACACCAAAATCTCCTCATAAAATATTACGTTAGTAGGCTTTTCATTGACAAAATAGACAATAATATGTTTTGGAACTCAGAATCCCACTATTAATCGTTTAAACACTGAACGTGTAACTAACCTAGAAATTAGTACTCTAGCATCAGCTCTTAATCCTGCAAAAGCTAGAACAACGTGTTCATCTAAAGGTACTATTTTCTTCTCTGTTCTATCATCTTGTAACTTCTCTACCGCCCTCTTCTCGGTTGCTAACACTATGACATCTGTACCACGGATTCCTATCACTGGGGACCCCTTTCGAACTGCCTCTTGAGCGTATTGAACTTGCATTAAATGACCATCTGGTGAAAATACCGTCACAGCTCTGTCGTATTTAGACATTAAAAAATATTAAAAATATAATATAAAAATAGAAAAATTCTAAAACTGTAAAAATATGTCAAAGAAATGTCAAATTGTGACAGATTTGACAAAGATTAAAAATAGCTGGATGGCTGGGCAGGCATTCCACAACGGTGCGATTCTCGCGCAATTTCTTGCCTCGCACAGCCGCGTTGTGGAACAGTCTGTCCTCGGCGGTATTTCCAAACCAATACGACTTAGGGACCTTCAAGAAGCGAACATACCATTTCCTTAAAGGCAACGCATCTGCAGTTCCTCTGGTGTTGCAGATGTCCATGGGTGTCGTTGATCACCTCGGTGTTCCCGCCGCTCGTTTGCCCTCTTCTCTTATAGAAAAAAAGCTTTTTTAATCTTTGTCACCTGCCTTATAAATTTGAGAAATTGAAAAATGCTTATTTATTGCCTCTTTACTTATAAAAAAGGAGCATACCAGAGAATGTAATAATCTTATTATACTTATTACTAATATTATAAATGCGAATGTTTAGATGAATGTTTCTTAGAAGATATCTCCAGAACATCTGCATGGATTTCGCTAAAATTCGACATAGACGTAGAACATATTCTAGAACACATAGGCTACTAATTAAGTTTTTTTACTTCCGTGCAGACGGATTTGAAACTAGTATGTGCAATAAATAATAATTTTCCTTTTAATACTGCATATCGCAAAGCTCTTAATATATAAATGACATCATTTCAAAACCACCAATGTGTCATTTGAAATTACTAAGAACTAGTATCAAAACAATAATTAAAATTAACTATATCACCATCTCAAAGGCCGGCAACGCATCTACGGTTCCTCTGGTATTGCTGATGTTCATGAGCGTCGTTGAACACGGGAACACCGTCCCGCTGTTCGTTTGTCCCCTTCTGTTATAAAAAAAACTATATTATTGTTGGTTTGATATACAAAAAACCAAACAGCTACGACTTGGGGTTCTTCAAGAAGCGAGAGTATCACCATCTCAAAGGCCGCAACGCATCTGCGGTTAGTCTGGTATTGCTGATGTCCATGGGCGTCGTTGAACACCTCGGTGTTGCCGCTGCTCGTTTACCCCTTCTGTTATAAAAAAAAACTTAAACCAATATAAATTTATAATCTGGAAAGAATTGTTAAGGATCTTATAAAAATTAGATCCACATACAAGCAATACCTTTCGAACAAAAAAAAATTAAATTAGGAGCGATGGGGGTCGTCACGCGTTAACACAGATAGAAAAATACGGACGAATTGATGACCTCTTTCTTTTCGAATTTAGCTAAAAATAAAATACTTAATTTCAGTTACCATTGCCGAAACAGTATAAAAAAATCTCCTCTTTTTTTTTTAATTGCAGACTGATGATAATATATATAGAAATTCAAAGAAATATGTGAAGTCAACCAACTCGCACTTGGCCAGCGTGGTTGACTATGACCTAGTCACCCGTAACACAGAATAGGACGTATAATGAGCTGATGAAGACTAGGCTAGACGCCATAGAACTAGACTACAAGCGATTGGTAAGGGAAAGGCACAGCAACCCTTCTAAACATAAATTCTCTGCGAAGCGATAAAGAACTATTAAAATGTATGGAACTGACAATAACTTTCGATAACTCACATTATCACGTGTCAGTTCTATACATGTTTGAAATTCGTTATGGAATCGACAGGCGACTATGGCCATCTCTTATGACGGAGGTGAAAACTTACTGCGCTGCATCAGTGGAGTAAATAAATAACGACAAACAGATCCTTGACAATTAACTGTAACAATACATCAATGTCTGACTGTCATGAACGCGATAAGAAAATCAATAATGTGTTGTTTGACGAACAAGGCGCCTTGTCCGTCGTCAATTAACGTCGGCGACACCTCCGACCTACATCTTGTTTACAGACCGTAAATATTGATGACATAGTCCATAGTCTGGAGAGAAATCCACATAAACGATAAATTATAGTACCTCTTAAGACCTAATTAGTAGCCTATGTGTTCTTCCAGACTATTTTCTCTCTCTCTCTCTCTCTAGGTGCCTCTCCATTTAATGGAGGTTGGCCATTTGACTATTTTCTATATCTTTCAAATTTCAGTGAGATCCATGCATCCGTTTTGAAGATGCATTTTAACATCTATCCATCCATTTAACTAGGGTGTTGTAGCGACCTGAAGTGGACCTTGGCCTACAACAACAAGAGTCTCCACTTCCCTGATCCCGCGCCGTCCATCCCAGTACCGAACATGTAGCTCCCGAAGATCCTTATCCATCTCATCCATCTAAATATTCGCATTTATAATATAAGATGTAAAATTTTTACCATTTAACAAGCAAGGACACTGTAAATGGCCTTACTTGAAGTACATAAGTTTTTATGTGATTATTCACCAAAATAAGTATTATTGACCGAGATATTAATTACACATAATTCCGGTAACGCGGCTGACATCAGCGATATTACGTCACACTCGTGTTGTGATCAAACATAACTTATGACTAAATAAAACTCAAGGTCAACTTGTATTTTGTGACCTCACTTACATAGTACCTTACATATGATGACATTAAATTAAAAAAAAATTATTCTGATTTGGATAAAAAAACAGAGGACAATATAAATGAGAAATTTGAATTTCATTCTAATAATTGTTTTACCGAAATTTATAACAAATATTAGTTTTGTCTATCTCTCTACTACTATTATGAAATTAAGATGTATGGGTAGACGTTTGTTAGAAGTTATCCCCAAAATGGCTTAATAGATCTCGATAAAATTTAGCATAGATGTAGAACATAGTCTGGAAGAACACATAGGCTTCTAATTGAGTTGTTTTTAGTTAGATAGCTACGTAAATATCTCTAAAATTATGCAATTAAAAACCTAAACATATTTGGCATCTCGATCAAATCGACTTTGAAAACTAAATACTCTCTTACTTTTAAATTAAAACAAAATTCTTATTGTATGGGAATTTCTTTCTTATAAGTTCTAAACGAAAGGTCATTCACCCGCCCCGTTGCAGTTCAAACGACTTCCAAGCACGCTCTTTTTGGCCTGAATTACTATCTTTGCTTATAACACCGTATCCATGTCTCATCAACATGAGAAATCGATCTGTACGGAATCTACGAGGAAACGCAGAGTTTCACGCAACGATTACAGGTCGAATAGTTGAAATTGAAATACTATTTATTATTTACGATAGTAACTTAGAGGCGTATGCTAGGATGGGATCGCAATGGAAACCCACACTTATTTAATATATTATGAAGTACTAGCTATAGGCCGCGACTCCCTCCGTGCGGTATTAATAAAAAACTTTATTAGGAGTGTGCCTATGTGTTCTTCCAGACTATGTATACATCTAAGCCAAATTTCATGTAGATCCTTTAACCATCTCCGGAGATACCTTCTAACAAACATCCATCCATCTAAACATTCGCATTTATAATATTAGTAAGATAAATGCAAGAAGCTAATGAGATGATGTGATATAAAACAATTTATGAATACAAATGTAATTGGATGCAGCGCGGCGCCGGCGAACAGTTCATTGCTGAATTTACGATTGAACTTCGTTAGCGATCAGTGAATTCAATTGATGAAACACAAGCAACTTGCTCAATGTCGCCGCAATCGATGATGATTTATTTATAACCAGAGACAAGAAATCAACAAGAAATATTTTTTATAACAGATGACAGTCACCTGGTGTTAAGTTACCTATGTAACTCAGGCCGTCAGTACACGAACCCAGATTGGGTCAAGCCAATGAAGTGTTTGAAGCTGGGTATACTGGTCTACTCTTCGCTGTTTTTAATCATAGACAACAACATAGTATGATGTTAAATGGAAAGAAGAGAGATTAAATATCACCCTCTACTCACCATTTTTGTTGTAAAGGGAAAAAGATTACAAGAATGCGTAAACATGCTTTTACATCTTACTAATATTATAAATGTTTTTTTTTTATAATATATTAGCAGATGTTTTGTTAATTTACTAATATTTCTTGTACCATTCCAACTAAGTTCTATGTTTGTGCTAGGATATGGTTTACGACAATAGTCGAATGCCGGAATTCGAACCCCCGACTTCGTGATCGGAAATTCCGAATATCGGAAATATTGGCGCTTCCAATTTTGTATGGATGGATGTTTATTTGAAAGTATCTCCAGATCGGCTATAACCTTGATGTAATTTGGCATAGTTGTAGATCATAGTTTGGAAATACATAGGCTACTAATTTAATGTTTTTTAATTCCGGGCGGCTGGAGTCGCGAGCGACAGCTAGTTATAAATAAACTATGATGTAACAAACAGAAAGTTACTGACACATTGAAGGTTTTGTAGTTGAATTAATTCAAGAATATAATATCACAGGCGATGTTTGTCGATGACATCAGCTGGGTATCGAATCTGGGTATATATTTGGTAATGTCCCTCGCACCGCCTCCAGTCTACCCACTTGCTTTCGACTTAGTAACGTGAGTTGCCACGATCTACTTATATGGACTTTATGACATGTTTGTTCCCAACATTGGACAATATGTAATCTGGGACAAGAATCGTTCATTGTTGAAAGCACAATCACGTTGAGTGTTGATGTTTAACAAGTTTGGCGTAATAAGTAATTGCTGTGGCATTGAACGTGTTAACTTATGTTCAATTTTAACTGAATATTCGGATTGTGAAAACTGAGGGTGTAAGGTTTTACAGTCTTTTAAAATCTGTATTTTTTTTACCAACTAAAATCAGAATTGTACTTTGCTATGATTATTATTATTTATTGATAAGTACTACGAGTATACACGATAAAATTATATACAATAAAGTACATAGTATTTTATACTAGCAATTGTCGTTTACTTCGTCTGCGCGGAATTGTCCTAGTAATAAATATTATATAATATAGCCTATCGCAACCGGATAATTTGGCTTCGCAATTAACAATTTTTCAAACTTTTTTAGTAGTTTTGGAGCCTATTCAATGCAAACAAACAAACAATCAAATAATATCTCTTTATAATATTAGTATCGATTGCCTTGTAAAATTTCTACGTATGTAGTTTTAGTACATATCTCTCCAT